ACCGAAAAACAATCAGTATTGATTGAAAATTTAATATAATGAATATGGAGTTAATGAGGAAGAATAGGATAACATTTCTGGTGAATTGGTTAGTTAAAAAAAAAATTATGGACATTGATGAAAATTTAGTAATAGTGGACTGAAACATTTTAACAAGAATCCAATGAAACGTTTTACAGTAATGAAAGATTCCCCAAATTTCACAAAATAAAATCTATGAAAATTCCGCATTATCACATTAAAAATCCCACATCTAATACCACATATTTTCATTTCAACAAACTTAAAAGTATAAACAAACTTCAGTTTCATGCCACCAAAAAAAAGCTATAAACATATTTAAGATTATATAATTACTTAATTTTGGCTCAAATTATAATAATCTATTAATCAAATTATAATAATTTATGCAGTACAAAATCCGAGATCCAGACTCATTGGGAATTCAGCGATTCCGGATTTGAGATTTTTCTGGATATTATATCATCAGTTTAAATCTAGCAAGGTGGCACGTAGAAATTATAAAATTAAAAATATGAATTCGTGATTTATGAACTAATGAAGCATTTATGATCTAAAGGGTATCAAAATTTACAAAAAGAATTTGTTTACTTTATTAAACATTTCTTTCAGTGTCAATTGTTTAAGTTGCTTCCCCCCCTTTTTTTGTGCTAATATTTTTTCTTTAATTCTATAGACAGACATAATTTCTTATTCAGTCACAAAGTTCCACTGTTCAAGTCCTGTAGTTGCTGTGTCGAAAATTCCCACAAACTTGTCAATCGAATTTTTTTAATTTTCAATAACCTCTTCTTCACTTTCTTCACTATCAGTAGCCGTATTTTCTGGATCTAAAACCATACTACAGATTTCGCCGATAACTGATTGATGATTGGAGCATTGTCATTATGGTGAAACACTTGTTACATCATCTTCATTTATTACAGTTTCTCCACATTTGTCTGCAAAATCCATTAACTGGAAAATTTTCACCTGTGGTTTGCGATTTCCAGGAAAACTTCAAATTTGGGACTATCATCTTCATCATCCACACAATAAAATATGGTAGCTGACCATAAATTATGCCAAGTATTTTTTCAAGTATCTGGAGGCACATACTTCCACGATCTTCCGATGCTCCCCACAGCATATTTTGTACTAAAATATTTCAAAAATTCTTGAATAGTCCAACCATTAAAATCCATGTTAAACATAGATTTTAAAAATGCTACTTTAAATTTGCATTTCAGCGTGCGCACTATTCTGCTATCCATAGGCTGAATGATGGAGCTACAATTTGGAGGATACATTCATTACCTTTTACTGAAACTTTAAGTGAAATATGAGCCGAACAGTTATTTGCAATCAGGACAATTTCCACATCATCGGGTAAATCAACCGAATTCAAGTTTTGCTGAGCCTAGGGTATGAAATGATTTTTAAAACCAATCATACATTAATGTTTGTGTCATTCATGCTCTTTTATTTGCGTGATATATAATGGGAAAAATCTTTACTCCTTTAAATGGTCATGTATTTTTTTCGATTATGAAAAGTTTATACTTGTGCATTCCTGCAGCATTTGTGCATGCTAAAATTGGTAGTGTCGCTTTGGAATCTTTGACACCAGTTGGACTTTTTCTGTAAAGGTTGCCAAGGTATTTTGTGATACATATTGCCAGAAAATACCAGTTTCATCAGCACTGAAAATTTTTCCTTGAGATAATGTTTCACTATAAATGAGTTCCATGAATTCATCTGCAGATAGTTCAGCAGCTTCAGTATCAGCTGAAACTTTAAATTGCATGATACCGAAAGAAAGCTAAGGAACAACGCAACTGCTTTATTAACTGAAATTCTTTGGAATTAGTAAAGAATAATTTTAGTCCAGCTTAACAGCATGTCTTCGGTATTCGGTATACATTATTGGCTAAGTAGCATGAAATTCGCGGCGAAAGGCAAGTTGTTCCGCTAAATTTTGTTTGCGCACTGAGACAATAAACCTGAATTGTATTAATTTAGTTATTAATTATACTTATATCTATTTCTTTCACATGCCTAAGGCTTATCTGAGTCCTGAATAAATAAACTCCCACATTTACTTAAGCTTACTAAAAGCCGGTGCTAGATATTTTGCCACCTAATGCAATCTCTGTGGGTCCTAAATTCTACTACCAATTGCCTCCCTAAGTTTTAAATTTTTGCCGCCCCTTAATTTTGGGTCTCAGTGCTTTCCCTAAATTCTAAAAATTTCATCATTCCTTCTTAATTTTGTTACTCGGTGCTTCTTTAAATTCCAAAGATTTTGTCTTCCCTAAATTTTGCCGCCCGGCGTTGTCCATACGAGCTCTGGCGCCGGTTCTGGGTTTACAGTGTCTCAAAAAAGTGATGGGACACTTGTGCTTTACAAAAGGAAACTGCAATAAAATAAATTTAAAAAACATGTAAAATTTTTTGTGGGTGTGTTTCATACTTAAATTTAGTAACAATTATTACATAACATACATTTTCTCAAAATATTAAAATATTAATTTAATAAAAAATACAATTGTGTAGGACGGAGCAGAAAATGGCTCACTTAAGTGATGGGACACTTTTCCATAAAATATTTATCCAAAAATTTTACTTTTTAAAAGATTTTAATATTTTGTTGGATTTCCTTTTACTTTTAAAACATGATTTAATTTTCTTGGAATGGATTCGACTAATTTTTTTGTGATTTCTGGAGTGATTTTACCCCATTCTTCTTGAAGCACCGATTTTAATTGTTGTTTTGAAGAAATGGTGTGTTTGCGAATTCTTGATTCCAATTCTTGCCAAATATTCTCTATGGGATTTAATTGTGGAGATTGTGGGGGTGTTTTTATTATTTCAGGACAGTTTACAGCAGCCAGAGTCTAACGTTCAAAGCACTGTGCTTGGGGTCATTGTCCTGGTAGAATTTAAAATCGTTATGAAGGTTCAATTTTCGTGCTGAAGGTTTCAAATTTTGATTTAAAATGTCAATATACTTGTGCTGATCCATTATACTGTCAATAAAAACAAGATTACCAACTCCAGCGGACGACATACACCCCCATACCATAACTCCTCCTCCACCATGTTTTACTGTTGGCACCAAATTCTGTTTGCGAAATTCTTCCCTGGGTTTTCTTCACACCAAGTTTCTACCGTCAGAACCAAATATATTAAATTTACTCTCATCAGCAAATATAACTTCATTCCAGTAATGAGAATTCTTATTTATGTTGGATTTTGCGAAAGCCAGTTTGAGTTTTCTATTCTTTTCACTTACGAAGAATTTTTTCCTGGCTGCTCTACCGTGATATCCAGTAGATCGAATTACTCTCCTAATAGTCTCAGAATTAACAATTACTCCATATAATGCTTGTAAATCAGCAGCAACTTTAGGAGCACTCATTCTTGGATTTTTTTTAAATATTTCGAACGATAATTCGCTTTATTCCATTGGATTGCTTTGATGGTCGGCCAGGTCTTCTTTTATCCTGAATCATATGATTCTTTTTATATCATTTAATGATATTGAAAACTGTTGAATGACTGAAGTTAACTGTTTCAGTAGTTTCTCTAATAGATTTTCCACGTTCGATATGCAAATTAATAACTAATTTTCAAATTCCAGGCAAAGTTTCTTTTCGTTTAGCATTCATGGCTGCACAGAGCTAAAAAACATAAAAATTCCAAAACAAACTAGAGAGAAATACTGCAGACAATTTTATAAATTATTGCCAATTGCTTTTGAGTAAAAATAAATACCCCAAAAGATATTTTTATTGCTTACTTCAGACGATTTGTGTTGCATAGTACGTAGTGTCCCATCACTTAAGTGAGCCATTTTCTGCTCCGTTCTAAACAATTGTATTTTTATTAACTTAATATTTTAATATTTTGAGAAAATGTATGTTATGTAATAATTGCTACTAAATTTAAGTATGAAACACACCCACAAAAAATTTTACATGTTTTTTAAATTTATTTTATTGCAGTTTCCTTTTGTAAAGCACATGTGTCCCATCACTTTTTTGAGACACTATATGTGAATAAAAAATTAGTTACTCTTTATTCAAATAGCACTAAGTGTAATCTTTTGGCCTATGAGTATCATTAACAAAATCTATTTTTAGCATATGAAAATAAATTTTTGTCAAATATTTCCTTGTCAACATTTAGCACATTTAACTTAAATCTGTAATCATCGCCAAATGTAATGTCAACATAAAAGGTTTCCATAGTCTTTGTTATTCAATTACTAATATAAAAAAATTAGGCATTGCTGCATGAGTCATTACTCAAGTTGTCATGTGTTGATAAACATGCAGTGACCAAAGCAAAATATAATAAATAATGATTTGCCAGATTGGCATCAGGGATATAAAATATTAGTAGTTGTAAAATCAATGATGTTTCTATGTAGAATGTTTCGGTTTGAGATGTGTGGCAAGCAGATACACAGCTACAGAGCCAATTATTGATCACACAAATTTATGCTAAAATGATTGTTTCTTCAATAACGAGGTATTTTATTTAGTGCAGAAGTGAAATTAAGAATCATGATTCTCTACATTTTATTATGAGGAAAAATAAAACGCTCATGTGTTAAGCTTAAAAAAATTTTTTGTTGGTGGCTTTAAGGTCGGGATTTTAGATCATTTCGGATAGTGGACGTCCAGATCTTGGACTTTGCACTGTACCTCTCTTTTGTTTTATGTATTTATTTTTGTTGGTCTCTTGTGCCAACATTTAAATAAGGTACAAGTTAAGAGTTTATTTAAACAGCTGTTTAATACAGAAATAAGCTAAATTTATACCATTAACCAAATTTATACCATACAGAGATTACAAAATCATACTTAAAAATTTAATTAAGTGTACATTTCATTTACTGAAAATGTAACAACAGTATGTATAGTACTTATATAGTATTTTTTCATAAATAATATTTAATTATACTTGATCTAATAATCAGTTCTAATTTTTAGGACTTTCCAATGATACACTTCAGAATCAAGAAGAATTTAATGAAACAATACCAAAATCATTAGCATACTTTTTCAAGCGCCTTCGTCCTCCCATATGTCTTTTAGCACACAATGGCAATAAATTTGATTTTCCTGTTTTGCAAGCTGAACTGAATAGAATAAATTGCTCTTTGGAGAAAGAAATACTTTGTGCAGATACTTTAGAGGCTTTACGTAGCATAGGCATAAATCCTCATAACAGTATGGGAAGTCAAATATGCAGTGATAAGAAATTTGTTAGCATGCAACTTAATGATAACTCACACAGTAAAAATCCTACATCAGATGCTGAAATAGATGCTTTGCTTTCTGAAGATATAGATTTATTTCAGAATATCGAAGAAACAGAGGTTCAGAATAATGACTCTTTAGAAAAAGCCTCTACAGGAGTTCAAAGAAGTTTAGGAAAATGTTTGACCAAAATTCTAGAAAATGGATCTTCAGCAAAAAGCTTCAATTCTGTACTTTTATTTCAGCATGGTACTAGTAAAACAGAAGATGTAAGCACTGCACTACCAGAAAATTTCAGCAGTTTGCTTACTGAATTAAAAACACCCATTCAGTCTCCCACTATATCAAAAATGCAGAATTTTGAAATGAAAGTACAAAAGAGTAAAAAAAAATCACATGATCCATTATATTCACCTAAAAGTGAATGTAAGCAAACGTTCTTTCATTCTCTCCCAGTGAAGAGAAAATTATTTCTTGATGAAAATGGCCCATGCAACAGTAAAATGAATATTCCAGCAGAAAAGAAAAAAGTACAGTATTCCTTACAAAAGTTGTATTATCACTTTTTTGGAGAAAATCCTCCTGAAAGTCATTATGCTGAAGCAGACTGCATTGCTTTGAGCAAAGTTTGTCAAAAAGTAAGAAAAGAATTCTTGGAATGGATAGATGTAAACAGTATTCCATTTTACAAAACCAAAGCAATGTGGTAAAAATATTTTGTAACTTTTATAACAAAAGTTGCAATTAACGATACTTAAATTTGATTACATTAAGGAACATTTTCACACAGTCAACAGTTGAGAATAATGAACAGAAGAAAAGTGTAATAATGTTTGCACCTGGAAGCTATTTTTCTTCTCTTAAATTCCATTATAAGAAATGTTTTGATAAGTTTTTATGTATATGACTGGCATATTGTTTAAATCAGAGGTCTTCAAACTGTGTTCCGCAGTACCCCAGGATTCCACAAGTCAAAACCCGGGGTTCTGAAAGTCAAAATGAAAATTCAACAAGAAAATTATAAAGTACTCACACAAGTTAACTAGTATTTATTAATTAAAAAATATACATTTAGTTGTCTTTGGAAAGTAGTCAAAAGCTTTGTGTGTGGACTGCTGACACCAGCAGCACTCACATGTGTAAGAGTAGTTTTTTCGATTGTTTAGTATGCAAAAATGTTTCCCACACCGTTCAGAACAATGTATTTAAGTCAAAAATTTCTCTCAATGTATGTGGCAACAATAATAAAACATAGAAACAAATGCGGAATATGAAATGTGACTGCAGATAACGTCAATACAGCTAGACTTCCGACAGTTTGGGCAAAAAAATGCAAGTTCATCTCTGTCACTAAATATTATGCAAGAGTATGTGACACCTGAAGCATGAGCTAATGCTATTAAATTGTAAATTAGATTAATTTTATATTGAAATTTTTTAAATAAAAAGCACAATTATTTCCTTTAATTGTCTTTACATACAGTACCTATAAATATTAATCTTTGATTTGCTTTAAATACTTAAGGTATAGTTTCCTAATGGTATTATAGGGTTCCCCGAAAAAACATCATAGTTACAAGGGTTCCGTGAGTTACCAAAGTTTGAAGACCACTGATATAAATTATTTAGAATAAAGAATCACGTGTACAAAAAATTCGAGGACATGAAATTCTGAAATAATATTTTATAATCTCTTTTATGTTGCTTTACAATCATTCTGCACATCAAATTTATTACTTATAAATATTACAATTAAGAACTGAATCAAATTTATGTTTTATCAATATATTTTACAATAAAAATTTGTATATTATTGTAAATAATGCATTATTATTTTTTATTAAGCATGACATTTTTAAAAATACAATCCTACAAAATAAAAAGGAGGGAAAAAATTTAAATAACTCATTTTTATCTTTAATTGAAAAATTTGCATTATTGATCAAGATTTTATTTCTAACAGAGCCTTCAAGAATATCTACACTTGACAATATAAGAGGCAGATATAAAAGAATAAACAAAACCATTATTCAAGAAAAATATTAAGTCTGTAAAAAGTTCCAACTTAATGAACTTATAAATAGATAAACTTCTTCCAACTTGATAAACATACTATTTATACGATATTTTTATTTATACCAAGATTTTGACCTTAAAAAAGCAAATGAAATTAGAAACAAGTAGAGAAATGATAATTTTAAATTGATTGTGAATAATAATAATTTTCTTAAATATGCCTTCTATAATTAGTAAAATACAAAGAAACTAAAATATATGACTAGTTTTTATTTCTAAATTCTGTTTTCAATTAAATATACTTTTATTCTATTTTAATGTTTTATAGCGATGGCAAGCAAGTATTATATCTTCGTGACAAGCAGGTATTATTTATAATCTTTCATTCATAATAATGATGAGACTAGGGTAAACGTACATTATAACCTTAATTTTTTTTAACATGTTAAAAGGAACAACAAAAGGATAAATTTATCAGTTAAAGGAGGATCAAAAGATATCAAAGGATAAATCTATCGGTGAAATTGCAAGCGAAAAGTCCTATTTCTGATTCAGCAAATAAAATGTAGGAATGATGGGGACAAAGTGGTTGAGTATGGAAAAGGTACATAAAATATACTTCTGGTTGGAAAGAGTGTTGATAAACGATGCAATATTTTCCTTTAAGAAACAAGAAACTTCACTGTTCATAGCATGATTTAACAGTGATATTTTCGGCACACAGTGGTGGTTATTGGAACCTAAGGCTTCGTTCAGATGGTGGTATATATGTCATACCTGGTTTAAGCCCTGTTTCGTTGCTAGATAACCAGGCCATGCTATGCCACAAAACCTAGTTTAGGGGTTTTGGCATAAACCTTGAAATTTCCAGTTGTCTGCAGACTTGGTATAAGTATTGACCAATCAGACTATATGCATGAAACCTCAGTGGGAAAGCTGTAGACACATCTACGCATGCGAAAATTTAGTTTCTCTAATTGTCTACGGCTTAGACCCTGTTTCGTAGGTGTGAACGGAACTCCTGCATTTACATACCTTATGACTAAGCCTCTATGATATTTATACTACCATCTCACACTGAAAATGGCATTTCTTTTATCAGATGACATAATGCTACAGTAATGATAGTCTAAGATATTATATAATTATCTTACATTGAAAGAATCACTCTCCTTCAAACAACCAATTTACTTCCCTCTCCAATTAAGAAAGAAAATAACACTACTATGGTTTTAAGCTGGAAATTTCATAGCAAAACATAGTAATTGAGGTTGCAGAGCTACAAATTTTAATTGCAAAGTTCTCAACCATGTATAATAAACTACCTCTCTGCACTTGACAGAACAGCTATCTACAGACCATCTGTCTACCTCCCTGACATTCTGGTTCTGATCATGGCAAATACAGGAATCCCAATGGCACTACATATTGAAACAAAATTTTCCTTTGACTATGTTCCAATTAATGACTTCTTTAGCAGTGAGAAACCTAACAATCCAAAACTGAAGGTCATCACTGATTGGTACCATTTCTAAAAATGCTATGCAAAACACTGCCAGTATACCATGGGCTCGGAAATTAAAATGTTATTGACTATATCACTGAAAATTTCACGAATTCTATAAAAGAGGTATATCAAAAAGGTCATACTGTCATTAAATATGCCTTCAGTGTCTTCCAGATAATCTAATTTCAATAATAACTTTCTATAAGAGAACATTTAGTATCTGCAATGGAAATACATACTCATCACAGAGGCCGTTTACCCCCTTACCTGTTTTGCCCACATGACATACGAACGCAGTTTTCTTGCTTTTAATGATTTGCTCGTATGGTGTGCATGCAATCTGGTTTCTTTGTCACTTTCACTGTTTTGGCCACATTTTTTTTTTTTTTTTTTTTTAATGTCAAATTAGTTGTATAGATGGCTGAAGTTGTCCACAAAGTGATAGTTTGAAGTGTATTCTGTTTGCTCTAAAAGCGCAAGCTTTTTCATAAGATTTGCATTACTCTGCGAGTTTTTATCTTTTAGTGTTTAGCTTTCAGTATGTATTTTACACAATATTTGATAACTTCATTTATATACAAGTAGTAAAAACTATCTTTATCATAAAATAATGGATGATTCAGAACATATGGAGCTAGTTTCTTGTGAATCGGAATCAAAATCCAAAATACCTGCAAATGAGTCTAAGAGTGGAAGTTTTCTAGATGATTGCGACGCTAGTGACTATAATGGTAGTACAGATGGTTTCAGCCAAATACAAGGCAATTGTTTGAAATTAATTCTAATAATCCAACCATTCCACCTCCTAGATTTGGTTTTATTGGAAATACAAAAATTAACTTAAATAGTGATATAGATATTGGTAAATTAATTGGTATATATCCTACTAAAAGGATCATGGTTTGGAATAAAAGCATACATGCTTTGTGAACTGGTGGGCTTACACA